GAGGCGGCGCTGCGGAGGCGGCTGCGTGGGGGGCTCGGAGGAGGCCGTGACGGGGCTCGGGGCCCTGGGGGCGCGGGGGAGCCCCTAGGTGTGAGGGGGGGCGCGGGGTCCTTGAGCGGGGCTGTGGGGCTGTGGGGGGCTGAGGGTACCGTGCTGGGGAGCACTGGGGTAGGGGGACCCTGAAAAAAAGGACCGGGACGGGGGTGCGCTGAGGGGACTGGGCTGGGCTGAGGGGCCGTGCTGGTTTGGGGCTCTGCTGTTGCTGGGGTGGAGGGGAGCCCTGTGCTGAGGGTTGCTGAGGAGCACAGGGTCTGGAGGCAGAACTGGGGAGCACTGGTGCGGGGGTTCCCAGGGATGGTGGAGGTTTGGGGTTCTCTGAGGAGGAAGAGGGGCACCGGGGAGTTGGGCTCTGCCACTGGGTGCACTGGGGAGAATGGTGGCAGAGGGGCACCCTCGGCGAGAGGACTGCTGGGGAGCAGGAGGAAGAAAGGGTTGTCTGGGGATAATGCTGTGGGCTCTGCTGGGGAAGATGCTGGGATTGGTTATGAGGGGATAGTACTGTAGTGACAGCTGTAATACCGGGGAGCAGGCTGAGGTGATAGTCAGGAAAATGGTGCCTGAGGCTTTGTCAGTGTATTTCATTAAAGTGTGATTCCTTGATACATCTGGAAGGCATGTTTGGGAAGAACTGAGAAATGGGGTTTGCGAGGAGGGGCAGGCATACTTAGAATGGGCTGGCAGGTTCAAGGAGGACTGCAAATCAGGGAGAAAAAAGATGCAGGTAACTCTTGGGGAGTCAGCCAGACTCTGAAAATCTCGAGTTAGAGCTGTTGTGTTCTTGCTTGTCGCAGTTGACCAGTGGATGAGAAAACATCGCCTTCCTGCTGTGCTGTGACGTCCCAACCCTCCCTGGTTTTGCAAAAGCGGATATCTGACCACCCTGTAGGCATGGCTCACTTGAGAGAATTTGCCAGTCAGGTAAGTGGCAATTAAAAATGTGTTTTAAACTCTTGTAATGAGTTTAAAACAAATCACCAGAAAATCACTTTTTGCTATTCTTGGTCTTTCTTGCATGTGTCTCGGCTTACTCCTGTCAGCCAATTTATTATTTCTGTCTTATTCCATGGTGGTGTGAGACTGACAGTGTTACATAGCCAGCCAGATAGAAAGGGAGTTCTTTGCCCAGTATGGTGCCTTTCTCTGAGGGTAACTTTGCTCTTTTTAGGGAGACAGGAATCACTGGGTCTCAGTATTTTTGGGAGGGGAAGTCTAGAAATGGGAACAGAAAAGCTGTGTGTGGAGGCTGTGCCAGACATACCTTACGGAAGTGTTCATGAGAGTAGCCTGAGAAAAACAGTGCTTATAACCTTAATGCATAAGAAGCAGTGATATTTGAATGCTTCACTCTTCTGAGAGAGATACCAGCCCCAGTGGATGTGGTTAAATCCTGTTGTTGTGATGACATTTTCGTAAGAGGAATGTGGAAGGATGATGTCATGACTTGGGACTAAAAGCTAAACCACATTAATAGTATTGGCTTGAATCTTCTGAATTTGGTTGTGGGGTGTGTTTGATTATTGGCAGATGTCAATATGGAATGCAGGTCTTGTTAAACCACGTTTTTTTTGAGAATTTTTTTACATTTTTCTGTTTTGCTCCTAGGTGTAGAATTATAATACTGAAAGCTGTAGTGGTTTGAGATTGTTTTCTCCAAGCCTTTTCTGATTTAGAATTGATTTGCAATGCATCTTAGTTTGCATGCTTCCATTTAAACTGTTTCCCCAAAGTGTGTATGGAATTAAATGCAAATATAGTGCCTGAGTCATAGTACAGGGAGAGAAATTAAAGCAATAGGAAAGGATACTGTCTGGTTAGGGTTGAGAACTGAGTTCTATAGCTACAGAGGAGGTTTCTCTGAAGCTTTTTTATACATGGCATTGACTAATGAATGAAGCTTATCAGAGTTCCAGTGGTCTCACCTCTGCATTTATTATGCAGAGCATAATAATTCTCAGATTCTGTCGTCCTGTGACTCTCTGTCTGGTCCTGGAATAGGAAAGCAGTCTGTGTTGTCCATTCCTTGGGTCTCTTCAGGAATCCTTGATGGGACCTTTTAATCTGTATGACTGAGGCTTGCTGGGAGGGCAGTAGGAATTGGCCTGAAGTTCTGTTCACCAGAGTTCAGGGAGTGATGGGAGGTACTGTGAAAATTGAGAGACATTGATTGGATTTGGATGTCAGGCTTGACTTGCCTTTGATTCCCAGTTTTGTTGCTGATGTGCAGGGTTACCTTAGGCAAATCCCCAGGTTGCTTACCTCCATGCCTCCATTTCCCTGCCTCAGCTAGCTGGCTTGCTCTCTTTTCTTGGCCATCCTTTGCTGTGTACACATAGCACGGTGGGCCTCCAGTCTTTGTCGGGAGCTCTACCTGCTAGATGATGTATTTGCATTATTGTGTTTAAAGCTCTGATCTGAGCTCTTGTTTCCAGTTTTGTTGTTCCTTATGTGACCTTGAAGAAGCTGTTCAAGTTCTCTGGCTAAGTAATGCTTCACTTCATTGAAGCGAAAGAACATTATCCGTGAAGCCAAGCTGGGAGTCTCAAACAAATTAGTATATGTCAAAATGTCGAACACAAACTTCGCTCTTGTCTATACTCCAGAAGTTCAAAACTGTCTCAAGCTTGTTGAAAAGAGCTGTGCACAAATTCCATATAGACAGGGAAGCTTTCAAATGTTTCCAGATACAAAGCTGATTTTCCCAAAGAGAAGCTAGTGCCTGCTACAGATATCTCCATTAGTGGCCCAGAGGTTACTGTGCAGCATGCAATGTGGGTAAATGTGGGCAATGAAGGAAAGAAGGTCAGTAGCTGAGGTTTATTAAAACAAACTTCCTCTTTCCACTCCGTTTGGCAGAGAAAAATTATGTCTGTTTGTTTGGCTGGTTGGAAAGTGCTCTAGTCATTTCAGAAGTAACGCTAAATGCTGCTGCAGTTCCGTATAAACCTTTGGAAGCTGCCAAAGTCCCAGTCAGCTTCAGCTCTTTATTGTGGCCTTGACAATCTTTTTCTTTTACAGACTTCTCTGATATAGAACAGTGATTCTGATCCTGACCTGCCCCAGACCAAGAAACTCTCACTTCCAAAAGGGTTTAAGCACCTCTCAGTGTTTTATGGAGCAGATGCAGGTGTGACGCTTGCTCACGATGCTGAATATGACTCTTTTGAGAGTGAGATCCAGCCGGACATAGCCTAGAGAGAAGACCTTGAGCTGGTTCAAAGGGTATTTGCTTCTATTCCCAATATGCAGGTTACCTTTCCAGGTAGTAGCTTTGAAATGAGGGTAGGTATTTACCCGTCTCCTCTCAAAGGTGGTGGATATCATGTCACTGCAGCAGGAGGTGGCACAACTGCCAAAACCATTCTTTCCCCATGAAGCAGCTGGTGTTACTGCCAGGCTTGTCTCATAACACACTGCAATTCTTAATTCCTGATCTCTGCAGTGAGTCGTTCTGTTTTAAAACATGGCATCATCAGTTGTGATGGCAAACACCCCCACACCTGTCATGACAGAGCATCTTTATTTCCTGTGCTGTAAGATTAGATCCTGGAGGGCAGAGGTGGAGAACGTTGCTAGTAGTTTGTCCTCATCCCTTTCATACTTTTTCCCTCCCCTTCCTGCATGTACAGCCAAGACAGTGCTTCATGTGCTTTCCCCGCAAAGCCTGTACATGCCTGACTGATCCATCTCTGGTGCCTGACTGCTCTCAATGGGAGAAACAGCATGAGGCTTTTTGCTCCAGAACTGCTATGTAATTGACATTCAGTCAAGCAAAAAGGTACAATGAGGTGACCATCACTTAAAGGCTTTATGTGTTGTAGTAGAACAAGGAGCAGCAGCTGGTCAGCTTGCTCTTCGGACTCTGGCCTGGAGCTCCATTTTACAGGCCTGGTGGGTTCTGTGAATGTGGAAGAAAATGGAAAGATTCCAAGCTGGTGAGCAGTTGCAAAGTTGACAGGTGCTAACTAATAAGCTTCTTCGAGTTATCTGTGCTCATTTATGCTGGTGTAAAGCATTTCATCTGCGTTTTGTTACTTTCTACTAATGAATTCTTCCAGGTGTGTTTGTAGCTCTGCAGTTTCAGAACATGGATTTGCAGCCAAGGTGATTCTCTGACAAGACTGACACTGAGATCAATTCATATTTAGAAAAGGGACAGATTGTGCTTGCTACACCCCTCACTGCAGTGCTCTGCAGGTGCAAATGTATTGGGGTAGGATAAAATCAGGCTATACTGAGTGAGTTTTTCTCCTCCCCTGCACCCCCCCTCGAGCCCCCCGAGTGTGGCAGTGTGCTACTCTTCTGACAGAGTGGTGCACTTGCTTAGTTCTTTCTCGGCATAAGTGCATTTGTTCTGCTGTCGAGTGCTGCGGCCTGTGTGCCCATCGATCTGAACAGCAGCACTCAGCAGCAGTGAGTTACCCTGTGGCAGCTTTAACAGGAACTTTTTAAAAGAGCTTCTGAGCAGATATCCTGCAGACTAGATAATTTTATCATAGTTTGTTATGGGAATTCAGGACTGCTTCTATGAAAATGCCGCCTAGCAATGTCTTCTGTGGTGTCCACAATGATAGTTCATAAGGTATTACTGGGTAGGCACTTATCTGCTTGAATTGGGGATGAACCTGTTTCTTCCTCCCTGTTTACAGAAAGTAAATAAATTTGTTAGCAGACTCTGGTCCTGCAGCAGGTGTCCAGGAGACTGTAGCCATGGGTGGAATGACTCTACCACTTAGCCCCATACTCACTCACTAAGTTCTGGCTGTTGCTGGGTATGACTTGTGTGATTTTGGCAACTGTCAGGGGTTGCACGTCCTCAGGCCCTCCACAGAGTCATGCTCTTGCTCTGTCACCTGAGAGCTCTGGAGCATTTCCAGATCAGTTTAAGTGACAGGTGCTGGGAAGGTAAATCCAGTACCTACAAACAAAGTTTCTTGTTCCAACCTAATATGGTGGGCCTGTGTCATCTGCCCATGAGAGTTGTATTATTTTTCAAGTCCCTTGGGCAAAGTTTCCATATGCTTGTCAGGAGGGTTTGTCTCCTTCACAGCCCTCACCTGAGCTGCTTTGTTCTGCAAAAAATGTGATAAACTGATATTGAACTATGGAAGCTTTTTTATGAAGCTGTCTGTGATTACACAGCCCAGTACATAAAATGGTGATTGTCCCAAAAGCTGCCTGCAGTAGCCAGTGCTCTTATGTTTGATGTGCTATTCTTGAATAATCAGTCCTGATTCTTTGATGTGCCATGCCAGGGTGAGGAGGGGAGCTGTAGCTTTTACCTTGCCATTTCTTTTCTTATGGAAAACTTACTTGGGAGGGGAGGAAGGTTTTCTTGCAGGGTTGCTTCCCTGCAGAATTCATGTGGATAGTGTTTCCTTTACCAGCTGAGACAGGTGCTTCTAGGAGATGATCCTCTTTCTCTCCCATCTTTCTGATGTGTGGGAGTGGCTGATGTGGTGGGTGGCATTTTTACAGTGTAGTAGGTGACTGTGCAAGGTAATGTCTGGGCCACCTTGCTGCCCCTTCCTGTAAATTGGTCAAGTAGTGAAAACTGCTTGTGGCCTGTTGTGAGCCTGGACTAGCCAGACTCTTCTGCCTGCACCACAGTTGTCATTCTCATGTTGTCTCCTGTCATTTCTCTAGCTCAAATCTTCTTCCTTTCCCCCGCCTCCCTCTCTCCTGTTCCTGTTATGTATCTCCAGTTCCTTTCATCTCTGCATATCCCCTCCAGTCTGTTTCCAGTGCATTTGTTCAAAGTACAGCCTGTTTGGGGGTTGCCATGGATGCACAAGGATATTTGGTTATCCTTCTGTATCGTGGACTGGAATGCATGTGGAAATCCTGTTGAGTGAGCTGACAGTAAAGCTCAACTCTGAGCCTGGCCATATAGTGATGCACTGAGCACAGAAGGCAAACAGCCTGTAATGACTGGCTGGCTTAATCATTAAGCAGCACCTAGGGCTGCTCTGTGGTGGCCTGCTGCTAGAATCTGGTGTTAGATGGAAAAATGCAGCTGCCCTGTTCTCAGATAAAATCTCTGCCAGCTCAAGACCGCAAGGGAGCGGTCCCTCTGGGTGATGTGTTGGAGGTGAGACTGAGAAGTTCTGGGTGTGAAAAACTCACTGGTACAGCTTGGCTGCTTCCTGTAGGTCAGGCCATATTTTCCAGATTTTTTTTCTTTCTTTCTTTCTTTTTTTTTTTTTTTTAACCTAGACTTACTATAGTTTCTTAAAAAAAATCACAAAGAGCCTTTTAGTATCATGAAGCAGAGCAGGACCTCCTGGTCTGCAGCTGAACAGAATGAAATGACATCAGAAAATGATTCTGTTTTCTTTCCTGTCCATACTAATCTTAATAAATAGTTAACTTTGCAGCTGCTGTTAAAGAGTCAGTATTTCTCCGAGGGTTGATGGTCGTGTTAGTAGCTTCCCAGTTGATGTGCTTATCTAATGAGGGATGTGCTATTTGCTTTTGCATCTGGGTGTGACAGCCAGAGGAGAGGCTGTTCCAGAAAAGCAGGTCTGCAGATGGAGTATCCATTCAGCTCTCCTGTCTCCTCTGGGCTAGGCAGGTGTCTGGCCTCCTTGCTTCTGGCCTTCAAAAAGTTGTGAGGTATGCTCTGCAAATATCTGAGGAAAGCTGGGATGGGTGCTGCCTGGAAATCAGGCTGCAGCAGAGAAGACAGCTAACATGAAGTTGTATTTATATTGCTGGAGTATTTAACCCTCCAAACAAGTAGGGAAGAATGAAAATCTTTCAAATCATTCTAGTCTTTGAGTGCAGAAAGGCAAACTATGGAAACACCCTTGTGAACTTCCTGTGGCCCTTTTGCTTCTGCCCATTTTCTCATCTGGATCTTCAAAAGAAGGCTGGTTCTGGTACACCTTGTCTTTTATTGCGGTGTGAACAAGTGCTTGCTCATGGAGCTGCTTTGACACCAGGTTAGTGCCTGCAGTTGAGCAGTCCCGTCCAATAGGAGCTGACACTTTCCGCAGAGATGCTTGCTGTCATTCTTCTGGGCTTCTCTTCCCTTTCTCCCCTACTATGGTCTGCAGGGGCAGAGAGCCCATGTATAAGGCTTCTTCAGTTCTTCTAATCGTGGATATATTCTGTGTTAAGTTTCTTGGCATGTGAAGACCCTTTAGGATATATGTGAGTTTTGGGTGAACTAAACAACACAGTAGATGCATAGCTAGGGAGATGAGCTGTATGGGTGTGTATGGTGCTCTGCAGGCTGCCGTGGCACTTCATGGACTTTTCCCATCTCTGCTTTCTGGTTTAGCACTCCAGGGTGGATCCTGAGGAACTGTTCACCAAGCTGGAGCGGATCGGCAAAGGATCGTTTGGTGAAGTGTATAAAGGGATTGACAACCGCACAAAGGAGGTGGTTGCTATCAAGATCATTGATCTGGAGGAGGCTGAGGATGAAATTGAGGACATTCAGCAGGAGATTACAGTGCTCAGCCAGTGTGATAGTCCCTACATCACCCGGTACTATGGCTCCTACTTGAAGGTAGGACAAAGCCATGGCAATTCTCTTGCCAGCAGTTTGGGAATGGGATGGGCTTCTCTGTGGGTGCTGCAGCTGATGGTGGTGTACAGCACTGAAAGGTGCCCAATCTGTGAGGGTCAGTGTGGCAGCAGGATCAGCAGCAGCTCTGCTCACTGCATTTATGGGGTTTTACAGGAGGCTGGGCTTTAAGACGCTTGCAAAGTACATGGAAATGAGGTGCCTGGTACAGCGTGGTTCCAAGAGCTGGGCACTTTGCTGGAGAGAAAATTACTTGTTGAAGAGGCTGACCTCTCTATGGTTTGACCATTCTTGAAAGGACATTTGTGAAATACTTTTCCAAAATACCACAGTTTTAAGATAGTACCACTTGGGCCTTTATGACTCTGGAAAGAAGAGGAGTTTGAAACTTTACTTTGTGATCTTCTGATCATCATTTCATCAGAAATGATGAAAAGAACAGGACCTGAGTCTTCCCAGGAGTACTGATGCCACTTCTGTTGAGAACAGGTTTAGGTATCCCCAGTGGAAGCTGCTAGTAATGTACTGGGGGCAGGTCCACTGCTATAATGGTGTGTCAGCAGAGAAGAGGGAGCTGGGTGCTCCCTCCTTGAGCCTCTGAGAGCTGCATGTGCAGCATCTCTTGGGTTGTGTACAGGACTATTTGTATGTCTTGCTGCCTCTGGGATGTTTCACTTTTCTGCCTGTTTTTATTACTGTATTTGCTCTTGGTTTGTGTTCTTGCTTACAGGGCACTAAACTGTGGATAATTATGGAGTACCTAGGAGGAGGTTCAGCCCTGGATTTGGTAAGTATGTGATAAGCTCTGGACCATGAAAAACATTGGCTGGAGCCTTGGTTTGTGAAATGCCCGTAAGCGAGACACTCACTTGCCACCTACTGTCTTTTTGATAGGCCTGTGTCTGAAGGGTAGGTAGGGCAGGGCAGGACAGACATGCTGGTTACGCATTTTCCAGGACAGAGGGATGCAAGAGTTTGCATGGAGCTCAGCTGTCAAAGCACTGTTCTCCAGCCTGCTCTGCTGCTTTACAATGGGAAAAGCCAGTGAACTGAAATGTGACAGCAGCCAGTTGTTCTTGAGCACTGAAAATCCATACTTCACCTAATAAGAGTTCATTGTATTGTTCAGTGCTTGCATGGCATCAAGCTCAGCAGGGACGTGGTCTGTTATCAGGTTTCCCATGTGTTTGATAATGACTTGTAAGTTACCCCAGATTTTAAGGGAATACAAGTGAAGGATACAAAGATGGGCAGAGTTCTGCTGTGCTGTATTCTGTCACAGAATTTTGCTTTTCTCCTCTGGACAATGAAGTCTGTACTACTTCCAGAGCAGTAACTAAGGTCATGTAGTAAAAAATGCTGAGCCTGCCCTGACTTGGAGGAAGGGTGTAGTGGGGGTCTGTCATCAGCAGAAGCCATCTTAGTGTCAGAATCTCAATTATTGCACTGAAAAGGCAGGACTGGTTTAGAGGAGAACTGCTGGCAAGAAAGGAGAAGAGCTTTGATATAATACTCCACAGCCAGCGGGTAGAAGTTGTGTCTGGGCTCTTGCAGTGGCTAAAATTCAGTTCTTGCATGCGAGCAGAGAGACTTGAACAAGCGAAACTGTTAAAATGTTCTGCTCACCAATGTATTTCCAGGCCAAAGCGAGAGATGAGCATCCTGTTGTTTCTCTGGGAAGCCTTTAATAGTCTAACAGAAAATCCCCCAAAGGTTTTCCACTTAATGTTTGCCAGGTGCAAAGTCCAGTGTTCTGCTTACAGAATGCGCATCAGGCATGCAGTAGGTGCTTCCTCCTGAATGACCTGCTTGGCTAAGGTTTTGAAGTAACAAACTGAGAGGTTGGAAAATCCAAGGCATCAGTCACCCTCATTTAAGCCATCTTTCTGCCCTTTATCAGCTGAAGCCAGGACCCCTGGAGGAGACTTACATAGCTACTATCCTGAGAGAAATCCTAAAGGGTTTGGATTATCTACACTCTGAGAGGAAGATCCACAGGGACATCAAAGGTAAGAGTGAAGAGCTTAGCTCCCTTTCTGATAAGGGATGTTACTAATATAAAATTCAGAAGTATTATTCAAAAAAAATCTGGGATGTTTCAAAAACTGTTTCTCAGTGCTGCTTTTCCTGTTGGCTTGCTTGTTTCCAAATCTGTTGTCATTTTATTGCAACTCATGTTTTCAGTGACTTTAGGATTTAGAGTAACAGTAAGGATCTGTAGCTCTTCTCTGGGATTTGTAGTTTGGATAGGCAGGGGGCTAAAGCAAAGGAGTCAAGGAAAGGCACACTCAAATATTAGCTGACTCTCAGTTATATCAGGATATTTGCTTTACTGCTGGACCCCGAGGCATGTGTATGCTGGTTATCATGGTTATAATTTATTGTGAAGGTGAGCTATCCTCATGCAGGGTTCACAGCCCTAGAAAATCAGGGCAGCTTGTGTCAGGTTATCCTGATAACTGATCTTTTAGTCCTCTGCAGTGTAGAGAGACCTGGTATCTGCCTCCCAATGAGCACAGAGCATCAGAGGGCAGCAGGAGGGTGGGAGGATAGTGCTGTGCAGATGTGGCTGGTGTTGGGTGCTAACTGCTCTGACCCTCTTCTGAGGGTTGAACAAGCAGAGCAGAGCACCCTCATGCAGGGATGTTTGTAGAAAAGATTCCATTGTGTATGTGAGACTACACATTTCTAGTAGTGCAAGCCCTGCAAGACTGTTGGCTGCCAGAAGAATGGGGAAACGCTGAAAGTTTGTAGGTAGGGTCTCAGAATGAAGAGTCCTACACAAAACCCCCTGTCCCAAAACCTGAGTAATGCCACTGTCTTAAACTGACTGAGAAGCAGAAACAAGACCAGGACTTGTGAGCTCTTTAGAGGGATCTACTATTTAATCTGTGCTGAATGCTACTCTGAAAAAAAATCAAGACTTATTCTGAGGTATCTTGGGCCATGTTGTCCTCTCTTCTTTGTGTGACCAGGAATCACATCTTGTTGATTGTGTGGCCCTTCACATCTACTCCTTGCTACTAACCTAGAAATATTCCCCTTCTGATCCAGCCCTGTGTTTGAACTTGTTATGTGTTACTCAGCAGAGGTCAGAGCATGAGAATGAGTCTGAGGCTGGAAATCGGAGCTGAGGGTTTTCACTGGGGCCAAGGAGATCACAGGAGGTCCGTTCTCAGTATTTGGTTTTGTGGGCTGGAGATGATTCAGAAACCAGAGGACTTAATGTTTATTTGTGTGAACAGCTGCCAATGTGCTACTTTCGGAACAAGGAGATGTGAAACTGGCTGACTTTGGGGTGGCTGGACAGTTGACAGACACACAAATCAAGAGGAATACCTTTGTTGGGACTCCATTCTGGATGGCACCGGAGGTCATCAAACAGTCTGCTTATGACTTCAAGGTGAGCTGGAGCAGGTGGATTGCTACTTGGTGGTACTGTGTATGAGACGGTGCTAGGGTTAGTACAGGGGTTGGAGGTGCTGCTTATTGTAAGAATGATACTTTCCTGTTACAATTCAGGGTCTGCTGGAGAAGTTTGTTAGACATGAAACACCCTATCTGATTTGATGTGACCAGCCCTTTGGCTGTGCTAAAGTTGCATGCTTCTGTGTTGCAGAATTGCTCCTTGTTCTGTGCTGTCACTGCTCTTGCTTGTCTTTCAGGCAGACATCTGGTCCCTTGGAATTACAGCCATTGAACTAGCAAAGGGAGAGCCTCCAAATTCCGACTTGCATCCAATGAGAGTTCTCTTTCTAATCCCCAAAAATAACCCTCCAACACTCGAGGGTCACCACAGCAAGCCCTTCAAGGAGTTTGTGGAAGCCTGCCTCAATAAGGATCCTAGATTTGTGAGTATTGCAGAGGTCAACAATTTATTTAGCAGGAAGAGCTTTTGGTGCAAGGCTTCTGGAGAGAAAGGAGCCCTGAGCTTGCAGAATGGGCAGGCAAGCCTGGCAAGAGTTGAAGTCAGTGCACTTGCATGTTTAGTGTACAGAGATGGTTAGATGAAGCATGCTTCCCTTATTTGCTCCAGAGGCCGACAGCTAAAGAACTGCTAAAGCACAAGTTCATCACACGCTACACCAAGAAAACCTCATTCCTAATGGAGCTGATCGATCGGTTCAAGCGCTGGAAGTCGGAGGGCCATGGAGAAGATTCCAGTTCTGGCGATTCTGATATGTACGTACACACCCTGCATGGGGGGTGCCCTTGCTGTACCCCCACGCCCCAGGGTAGCCCCTTGCAGACAGCTCAGGTCCTTTGTCCCACCTGGGTTGGAGATCTTACGGTAGCTCAGGGAGACCTGTGAGTATCTGTGAGAGCAGGTGACTGTTGCCTGAAGAAACAGGCTGTACCCCCTGTTCAGTGGGACCTGGTACTCTATTCTAGTCTTAACCTGTGGAGCCTTTTTGCTGAGTGTAAGGAATTAGAAGTACTAACAAGAAACATCAGGTCTGTGTGTAACTGGTAAAACAAGGCTCTTGTTGCCTGTATTTTATGTGCAGAACATTCAGTTAAATACAAGAGCTACAGGCTTTAGTAACTTGGCAACAGCTGGGGGGGGGCGGCGGGGCGGGAGAGCTTTGTTACTGAGGAGGATAATGAGGCTGTGAGCCTTGGGTGAGGAAAGGGAACTTTGTTGCCGGGCTGCTGTCACAGAGCTGCTTTTCACCTGCTGTGGCAGCAACTCAAGTGACCAATGACTCTGGGAGTTTGGCTTGCAACATCTAAGCCTGGCCCCTCAAATTGTGAGCTTAGATTGTCTTGAAATTCTTCTAAGTTTAACCAGCACTTGAAACTGTCTTCAAGCTGGCCAGAGCAGAGAGGTGGTTGTGGTGATTTGGAAACATGATCTAGTGCTTGACTCAGATCTCTGTGGTGCTGTAGAGGCTGAAGTGGTTTCTCTTTTTAGGATTTTTTTTCTGGGATAGGGAAATGCCTGGAGTCCTGTGGTGATATGACAGTCAGGTCAGGGAGAGCTTGTGGCTACGGGAATGTATGTGTAAAATGTCTGGTGTATGGAGTTGAGGCTTTGTCTTGACTTTGCCATTCTCATTTGCAGTGATGGAGACACAGAGGATGGAGACCAGGGTCCAATCTGGACATTCCCACCAACTATTCGCCCCAACTCCTTGAGCAAGCTGCACAAAGGAATGGCTCTTCATGGTTCTCAGAAGGTGTGTTTGCTCCCTGTTCTTTCAGAAGTGGACTGAACTAACAGAAGCTTTTGATGGTCTTGGGGAAGCTACCAGTCATTTGTGTTCTGTCTAAAATTTACTTCAGTCTGATATCAAGGGCTAGTGCCCCAGAGTTGCCCCTTCCACATTGTCAGAGTACTGCAACCTGTGGCTTTTGTGAGACCTTGTGAGGGAACTGCCATCAAGGTGCTGTGGATTTACCAAAGGTTTAGTAGTTTGTGTGCCCTGAGAGCCTTTGCCTGTGCTTGTAACTTTCTCTCATGTTGCTTTCCAGCCTACTGAGCCCATCAAGAGGCAACCACGGTCACAGTGTCTCTCCACGCTTGTTCACCCAGTTTTTGGGGAGGTGAGTAGAACCTTGCTGTCTGTGGTGGTTGGAGATGAAGAGATACCTGACATGGGTAAGTGGGAAGGATTTAGAGAAGGGAGGTGGGGTGAGGTGGGATTAAGGCACTGTGAAGCATTTGTGCCTCTGTTCAGAGGTGTATACTGTGTGTTAGGAAAGCGAATTATGTCCCTGGAGTCTACTCTCCAATATACAATAGAAGCACAGCATTGCTGTGTTGTCCTCTGGTGAGGATAAGGCTACCTGTTTCTTATCTGCACCTCAGGTTTGCTAATGCCTGGACAGCTCTGGACTCTGTCCTTGGCCTCTGTGGCTGAAGTGCAGCTCCTGTTAGGGCAGGCAGGTATTTGAGCTTGCCTATTGCTGTGTATGTTCCTGCCCTCGTGCTATACGCTGCTGGCCACAGCAGCAGGAGTTGGATTTGCTGGTTACTAGGCCATCTTCGTGATTTACACCTGCTATTGCTAGTGTGCTGAGGCCAAGGAGTTATCTATCGTATGGCCTGTGGAAGGTAGACAGAGAAAATGTGTTTGGAGAATCCACCCTGTTTTCCTGACTTGTGTTCTGGGTGGGGATGTGGAGTTGAAGTAAAAGCTACCGTTAATGATGGGATAGTGTCTGTGTCAGCAGAGAGCTGCATTGTCTTTCTAGCTGGGTGATGTTTTAAGGGAGGAGAAGAGGATGATAATCATAAGGGGGCTACTAGCTACAGGCTTCTGTTGCTGTTTCCTGCAGGAGTGTAGGAAAGGAGGTTCTGCTTCGAAAGAAATCACTTACGCAGACACTGTGTGTTGGGGTCTTTCCTTGGGCTGCTGGGTCAGAGACCTGTTCTCTTGTCCTGATGCCCTGCTCTTTTTCTGGATCCTGATGCTGTTCCAGGGGTGGGCAAACTAAAGGCCAGTGGCTTGGCATCAAAGGCTGATAATAAACTGGCCACTTAACTGCAGGCCCTGTGTCTCACTTTGCTTTTTGATCAGGTAGATGTCAAATCAAATCCTTGGCTTTAGCATCACAATTTTTAAACCAACTATTGTTGGCTTAAGAAATCTGTGCCCTTGGTGTGTGCAATGGAGCTGCCCTCTGTGCTCCCTTCCGCTTCTGAATGAGCAGAGGTGTGCAAGGCTTTGTGTTAGTGAGCAGTTACCCTGCTGAGGAGGCAGCAGCTCTTTTTGGCTGGGAATTCTTTCCAGCGAGGCCCTTGGAGCGCAGGGATGGCTGTGGCTGGGGATTAACGTTCACACTGTCCTGATTTCTGGACCATGGGGGAAAGGTGAGCTCCAGCAACGGGGAAGGCTGATCCTAGAATTGCAGGCAAAGAACTGTGAGGCTTATGTAAAGCCCTTTAATCAGCATAGCCTAACAGGACCTTAATTGAACTGGACAGTGGTTAGCTAGCAGACATTGCTTGGTCAACAAAAGGCACTGGTTTTTGTTCTGCTTGTTGTATAATGATGTGCACTGGGAGGGGGTGCAGAGGGTGTGACTGGGTTCTCCAGTGACAGACTCCTTCAGGCTCAGCATCAATGACCTGTCAGGGTGAGAGGTTTAGCTATTTCAAATTAACAACCATGTGCAAGTAGCCTTGTGGGTGGTGAGGTCTGGTCGGAGCATGGTAACCATTACGAATCCAAACCGAAGCTTGTTGGCGAGGTCAGGTGCTGCATGTGGAGGTCTCGGTGCCTGGGCTTCATTCCCCTGTGTCCCTGGGGGAAGCTCTCTGCTGGGGAGGAGCGTTGGAGGCCAAGGGGTTCAGGATCCCTAGTGTGGCAGTAGTTTACTCTCACCTCCCAGTCACTAGAAGCTACTCAGACTTTTTTATGGTTATTAAAAGTGGTGATTAACTCCTGGATATTTTCTGCCCTTCCTGCCTACAAGCTTTTGTGTGCATCTGGGTGCTAAGCAGTTGTTAGCAGCAGAGGTGACTCTGTTGGTTCAGGTACAGCTGGAGTTGTTTGTTCTGTTACAACTTAGGGCTTTTCAGGGCTGTTGATCCATTTCTAATATTATTTAGTTTGTTCAAGAGTACATTAGGGCCTGTTTGTTAAGGACTTCAATTGCTATTAGTACCTGGAGTTTGAACTCCAGACATTGGACTTGCACCTTCCTCACCTACAAAAAGAGCCCTTCTTTATTTTTTTGAGAATGTGGGTGCCCTCCTGCACCCTTGTAGAGTCATATTAAAAGGGAAAGGGACTTAGTGTCTGTACCTCACTGCTTGACCAGTGCTTTCTGCAGTGAGATAAGGAACCAACACCCCATTTCTGGGTTGCAGCTTAAAGACAAGCACAAGCAGACTGGAGGCAACGTGGGAGCTATGGAGGAGCTGGAGAATGCCTTTAGCTTGGCTGAGGAGTCCTGCCCAGGCATCTCTGACAAACTGATAGCACACATGGTGGAGCGGGTACAACGGTGAGTGTCCTCTAGACTGTGGGCTGGGGTGGAGCTGGCAGTGAACCATGGCTATGGCCATGGTAAAGCTTGGTGCTGAGCAGTCAAGACACCCAGAAAGTGAATATTGATGACAGCTGACCTGATAGTCCCAAAGTCAGTTCTTTTAACTGCCTTTTGTTTAGTGGAAGCAGTTCTTCCTGCCTTAAGTCTTTTCTCACACTAAACAGATTGCTGTAGTGTAGAGGAATGTTGCAGAGCATGGAAAGATGCTGCTAATCACCTTCATCTTGCATGTATTTATTCATATATGTCGTTCTGCTGGTCCCATCACCCAGGTAAGTCAGGACTATGCAAAATGTCATCAGGATCACTTCTGGAGTAGTGAGTATCTGTTTCATCACAAGGAGTGTGATTCACACAGCACTACGTGCAGCCAGTCACTCTGCTTGCCCAGCTACAGGTAGCAGCAGAGTGTACTTTTCCTGAAGTGAATTACTTACTAAACCAGTGAAGGAGCATAGTCTGGTAGAATTAAGTTCTTTGCTGCTCAGCAGGTGCTGTGTCAAACTTGCCTTTGCTACTGGCACCAAGCTCAGTCACATCCACGTATTGCAGGCACCAATGGCAGATCTGCTCACAGGTTTACCAGGCTTTATTTTGCTTTAATTTGGCTTTTCTCCACAGCAGGCTATCCTAAATCTCACCCTTTCCTCATCAGCTTGGAAATTTAACATTTGGACTCTCACTGGTTAGAAGGCTGGAAATGAAGTATTTTGCTATAATGTGACCAAGGGAGCCATTCTGTGCTCTGATTGCTAATGTAAATACAACCCAGAATTTACAGTCTTTACACTCCTGAACTTGGGCATTCTAAGCATTTATTTCTGAAAGGTTTAGGCTGGTGTAGTTTGGGCCTTGTAGCTCACGTGTCCGTTGGATGCTGTCAAGCAAAGAGCAGCCTTAGATATTAAGGACTGAAAATACTGGCCATCCTTGAGGGCTCCTGTTACTGAGTCATTCAGGCTTTTCAGCAAATATGCTATGGGTCTGTTTGGATCTCTCATCTAATAATTACTTAAAGCTGGAAAAGAGAACACTCTTGTCTCTTCTGGATGACCCACAGAGGTCACAGAAAAGTGTCCTGATGGTGCCTGCAAAAACTTTAGCCTCTAGCTGAGCAGGAGGTACTTGCAGATGTCTGTTGGGTGACTGCAGCAGGGCAGCTCTTCCAGGGTCAGTCACTTCTATCAGCCCAGAAATAGCACTACAGGACAAGACACTGTTCTTTTGGCAGTTTGCAAAACCTCAGAGACCCTGGTGGTTTCTTACTGTAAAACGCTAGTGCTCAAAATTTCTTATTAGCCTAAAATTGAATCTTAAAAGCCTGCAAAAAGGGTCACGTTGGCTTTTTGTTAAAATGCTGGCTCTTTCTTTGTTTTCTTTATCTAGAAAACTGACAGTGGCAGTGGGGATACAAACACCCAGGCTGCCCCCTCACCTGCAGGCTGCTGCAGCGCCCCGTCCTCCCGGGGAGGGCTTCCACGGGATGCTTGTGACCAGTTCCTCCCCTTGCTCTTTCTTGGCAGGTTTTCACACAGTCGGAACCACCTGACCTCTGCCCGCTGACACCTCCGTTCCCTGCTGCTGTTTTGAGGGGGGAAGGATTTTTTCCAGCTTCATAAGAACTACATCTCTAATCCAGACCACCATCTGCTGTTGGATGTAACATTGTGTTACGGACTCCAGGACATTTCAGAGCCTTCATATTACACGTGTTTCCATGATAACCCAGGGTGGGGTTTGTGATGCAAGTACAATTTAGACCTTTTGCAGAACCCAAGATGGGTGGTCTAATTGTTTTTACAATGTAATCAATGCAGTTTTTAATTGTTTCCCTATGGATGTATCCATTTCGGCTTGTTTGATTCACAGCTTGTTACTGGTAAATGCCTTGCTGCTGAGAAACAGGGAGATTCCCTTCCAGTGAGGTGTGTTTCACGGTGAGTCTGATGGGTTTAGCCTCCTGCCCTTCCTAAAGAAGTGTTTGTAAGCAGTCATGTGTGAGCGCAGGTCTGTTTGGAAGCTCTCCACGCATTACAGCGTTTGGGAAAGTTAGAGCAGCTCTCCAGCTGTTCTGGAGAATTGCTTCAACTCCTCCACACACTAGTAACAAAAAGCTTTCAAGCACAGCAGCAGCCGAGCTGCTATGCTGCTGCTCTTTCCCAGCCTGTCGTTTCACAGGAGGATGGGTTTGCCGACTGCTTTTTTTGGCTCTGGGACGTCATTTTGTATTAGGCCTTGGTTCATCTAATTCAGGCAACAGCAGAATGTGCCTTGGGTCTCCAGGGACTGGAAGGTGTTGGGTTTGATTGCTGGGGCAGTTCCTTGGTGCTTCTGCGACTGAAGCAACGAGACAGGCAGTTTAGCAAGTCCTGGCCTCTAAGCTGAGCAGACACCTACTGTGCATGCCTGAATGTTGCAGGAAGATTACAGGAAAAGGGGGCAGGGGCAACACAACAGCCAAAGGCACTGACAGGGCTTCAGTTCAAAAGGCAGATCAACATTGTGTAGCAGTTCTTGAAGCGAGAAACCTGTCCTCTAGAGAAAGGTCTAAATTGGACAGCTGGCAGCAAGGAGAGCAGGGTGGTGTGGCTGGGGGGGTGCAGAAGTTACTCGAGGCCTCCATCCCCTTCTTCTCAACTTTCCCTTTCTGGCTTTTCTTTCCCTCTGGGATCTAAACTCACTGAAGCCAGGGCTCTGCTCCAACTGACAGGCTGTGGTGGTGTTTGCTAGCAGAGAAATTAAAGCACCTACTGGCTGCTTAAGGTATTCCAGGGGAGCCGTGCCCAACGAGCTTTGCTTTCTGTATAATATTAGTTAATACAGCAGATCTTTAATTCAGGTAAATGCACAGATCTTAAATCTATACTTTAAAGGTCTAGGAAAATAGACTTAGGAAAGTAACTTCTGTTAGCTGATTTCTTAGAGATCTGCTCTCAAATTGTAAAGGTATTAAGTCAGCAAGACCTTAGATATCCAGACCTTTCTGTCTGGGTGTTTGTGTTTGAATGATGTGGCTCACCCCAAAGCCACTAAGAACAAAAGCTGTAGCTGTTGAGCATTTTTCTTAAAAGATAGGCCATGTCGTTAGCAACAAGGCTTGATTTTTGGTACTTTGATTCAGACCTGCAGATTTTAAGTGCTGGGCTAACAGTAGCTCAGAAGGACCATACATCCCCCATCCTGGTTTGCAGTGTTCACTTTAGCTTATGACTATCCTTTACGCTTCCTCTTTGATGGATACATACAGGCTCAGCAAACACTATGAACTTGTCCGGTCGAGAAGAGGTGCTGCTCTTTGATCAGCTGCAGAGGGGTGCTCCTCTGCGGGGAGAGCTGTCTTGGAGCCTGCGTTTATGGAGGACAGGACAAACCCATTTTTTCCTCAGGAGAAGGTGTTAATGTATAGACAGGAAACTCCCTGCAGGCCAGCAGAAAGGCAGCTGGGGGGCTCCTGCTGATTTTAAAGTTGCTGTTCATGACGGTAGCAAATTGTGTCAATAAGGTACCTTGTATTATTACTCACAGGCACTGCAGTGTAATGAGTAAACTTTTTAAAGGAAACAATCCCCACAAACTTTGTCCAGTATTCAAAGCAACAACGGTTTTAGTTTTTAAAAACATTGAAAGGGAGCTGCCACTTTCAATAAAGTAACAGAACAAAGGAGCCTGGTGTAACTTTTTGTTATTTGGAAAGGAGTATTTGTTCAAGCTGCTTTTCTTGTGTTCTTGGTTTTCCCCTGCATCTTCCTGCCCCATGTACCTCTAACAGCAACTGGTGAGACAGTGCTGCTGAAGTCACAGAATCATTCAGGTTGGAAAAGACCCTCGGGATCATCGAGTCCAATCCTCAGCCTGACTCTACAAAGTTTTCCCCTATACCACATCCCCCAACAGCTCATCCAAATGACCCTTAAACACACCCAGGGGTAGGGACTCCTCCCCTCCACTTTCTGACCACTCTGAAACGTTTTTTCCTAATGTCTAAACCTCCCCTGTTACAGTTTAAAGCCGTTCCCTCTCGTTCTGTCACTAATTCCCTGTGGGAAGAGACCAGCACCAACCTCTCTGCAATGTCCTGTCAGGGAGCTGTAGAGTGATGAGGTCTCCCCTCAGCCTTCTCCTCCTCACACTGAACGCTCCCAGCTCCGTCAGTGGCTCCTCACAGGATTTATTCTCCAGCCCTTCCCCAGCCTCGTTGCCCTCCTCTGCCCTCGCTCCAGCCCCTCGAGATCTCTCTCGTGCTGAGGTGCCCAAAACTGGACACAACACTCCAGGTGTGGCCTGCCCAGTGCAGAGCACAGGGGGACTGTCACCTCCCTGCTCCTGCTGGTCACACTATTTCTAATACAAGCCAGGATGCCGTTGGCTTCCTTGGCCACCCGGGCACACTACAAGTCCTTGTGCAGGGAGGGAAGGCAGGGAAGGAGCACTGCATTAGTCCTTCAGCTGTACACAGGTGTTAGAGGCAGCACAGACAGTCTGCAAAGGAGCTGTGCTCCAGAGAAAGTGTTGGTGCAGTTTCTGTTGGAGTCTGTTTATGACTCTGCAGTATTTGGACTCAGGTTCAACTACAAGCTGACAAGTCTTCACCCTCCTCCCTTTGCAGCTGTGAGGGTGGCTGCGGTGGCACAGGCTGCCCCAGAGGCTGGGGAGTCGCCGTCCTTGGGGACAGGCAGCAGCTGTCCCGGCAGGGGCTTGGCCCAGGCAGCCCCACGGCCCTGACCAGCTGCAGCCACCCTGCGGGGGGCGATCGCGGGACAAACACTTCGCGGGTCCCTGCCTGAGTGGAAACATGCAGGTAAAGGGTTCGGCGGGGTCTGGCACCAAGCACTGACTCAGCTGTGTCCTCCTTGGAGCCAAAGAGAGACTGACAAATGTACTTGTGACTCCGCCTTTCTGGGATATTTTGTTAAATGCCACGTGCTTGCGCTCACCTCTGCTCAACAGGCTCTGAGAGGACAGTGGCAATGGGGCAGCTGAAGCAGGGAAGGGCTGTTTTCATGCAGAGTGACATGAGGGGCACAGCTTGTGTTCTGCGTGGGTGACCAGAAGTCTATCTATCTGCCTTATAAAATGAAAGCTCTGACAGTTACAGCTCCCCCAGGTGCCAGACTCACCCTTAACAGCAGTGCGAAGCTGTGCACAAGCTGTGCTCCCCTGGCACCCGGGTGGTGTGAGGGCAGCAGGACACGGAACCCCTGGTGTACGGGCATGTTGCTGACGCTTCAGCAGAGATAAAGGTGTGGTGACATGGCCGGTGTGAAAGAGGGAGGTGAATCACCTGGTGTAACGGGAGTCACTCTTGTAACTGGGGGAGATAAAGGGAGCAGTTGCCAGAACAGCTCCAGAAAGTTGCAATAAATGCAGGGTAAAAACTACTGCAAAAACTGACCTGTTCTGGTTTCTTAAGCAGTGAAGCAGGACTCTGCTCCACTGAGTGAAGGACAGGCAGCCTGTCCCACTAGAAGCAGGGAAAACTGTGAGGGTGTACCAGAAACAATGTCTTTTGAAATGAAATGAGACCATGGATCTTAAGCCATGAGGTCCCAAGAGCATGGGTTCATCTTTCCCATAACGTACATCCTGCTAGCAAGAAACTGATGGGTAAGGACCAGTTACATTCTGTTCTTTCCTAGTGCTCATTTAAGGAAACTGCTCATGGTTGTAGTAAAGACAAACAATACTCCTGCAGAGTTCCAGTAAACTGAAAAATACTGCACGATATGTCACAGAACTGATATGTCACTGAAATTCCCATCAGTTTGAAAGCTTGTCAAGGTGAGAGAGAAGCAGTTTTGCCAGTTTCTGGCTTCTATAGCCTGTGCTTCCGTCTTTTAAATGCAGAGATGTTTGAGCTCGGTAATTCACCCCCCGAGCAGGGACCTGCAGTCCTCTAGCACCAGAGGCTCCAGTTTCAGGGACACCTCAGCCACTGTGGGCAGGACCTGCATCTTCATGACATGAAATATGGAGCTGCAGGTTAAGCACGTAAACAACTCAAGGATCAGCCACTCATCACTCCTGTAACAAGACTTGTACAATATTGTACAATGCTACTATTCTGCTACAGTGCTGGCAGGAGGAGAACTAGAGCAGAGGTGTTCAAACAGTCCATGGATTAGTTGGGTAAGTACCTACCAGTCATGTACAAACACCTTTAGGGTGTGTCCTTCCTCCTTTGATCATTTTTCTACATGTCCGGAGTCAGTTCCTGGTGTTCCAGGGTAAAGCAGTGCTCCCTAGGACGTGAGATGGGAGAACAAGTCAGGGGGAGGAGACTCCCCTGGAGCCTGCAAGGGAGCGTGCAGGAGCCCAGCCTGCACCCCGCTCGCTGGGGGTGAGGAAGGTTGTGCAGCTCCTTCCTCCCCCTGTAACACCCATTAACACACAGTGCTCGGGAGATCAACAGCTGGTTAATGGACGTAGTTTAGACAAAGTCTAGCTGATGTTAAGAGTAAGCTACCTGTCAGCAAATTAAAAAAACCCCTAAATTAAAACCACCAGGACCAAATACTAGGCTATTTGACCCTCGGGCAGAAGATACTGCCCCTCTTGCACTGGGCTCACAGAAACAGAGGTTTCTCCCGCTCTCCTCCCCTTGGCTCTTGGGTGATTCGCCAGGTCAGCAGCATGCTTGGCTCAGGTGGTGGCGCAGAGGGTGCTTTGTCCCCCGTGCAAGGCTTTGCACTGGTCTGTGCTGGATTCCGGGAGCAGGTCAGTCCCCTCCGCCCGTGCAGCCCTGGAGCCGCCCCCCAGCCTGGTGGCACTCCAGGCCCCACAGAGGTGACTCCCTCAGGTCCTTCTGACTCGATGCTGCTGCTCTGCTGTGGATGGAGCGGAGCCTGACGCTGGGTAAGCCGAGAAACACAGGGTGGGAAAACTGCTGAGGAACTTGAACACTCTAAAAAAAAAAAAAAAAAAAATTTCGAATCCTGGCAGTAGAAAGTCCTGCTACAGTCAACATGATCCAGGAAACCCACTGACTGCCAGGCCCTGTTAACCAGCAGGTGAAACCTCTTCTGCCAGGTCAGAGGAGGGACAGTGCTGCTGCGCAGGGACGTGCGTCTTTCCACAAGCACGGCCGTGGAAAGGGAGGGGGGCTCAGGAATAAGAGGCTGAGAGAGTTTTATACCAAGATGCTATTTACTTTTAACAGTCATATTCAGCTGCGTTATAACGAATCTAGGCAATCCACATGTATACACCTACAACAGTTAATTAAAAAAATTGAAGACGCTAATAAATTAAGTACATTTAACTTACATGGGACAATGGTCATTGTGACAGTGGTAGTGAAGGCTGGATCTGCAGTCACTCATCTGCTCTAGGATGCAAATGCCAAGTGAGGGGTCTGGAAAATCCCTCTGGAAGCCCCTCCCTGCAGTCCTCATCCCACATGTTTTACACCATAACCAGAGCCAGCCTTGGA